GTGGACAGTTGATGGGAGTTGATAACCCAGCAGGCTGCTCTGTACACTGGTTTCCAGCTCTGATTTGGCATAGCGGTGCCATGCACCCCTGTGCACCCTACTCAGCAGCCAGATCTGCCCTGCCTGACCCTCCCAGTCATAGTGAGCAAGTGGGCAATGATGCTTCTCCTATTTCCTTCCAGTGTACCCTCATTTACTGCCCATCTGCAGTGGACTCCCCTGAGACTTTTGCATGGGTTGGGGAGCCCATTGCAGGTAGGGCCCTGCTGGCAACTAGAATTTTCCATGGACCCTCTTTACCTGATTTCCTCCAGGCAGGAGCTGGGGACCTGGAGTCATAAGTCACAACCTTCTACAGTGGGCAGCTGCCCTCCCCCTTGGGCCAATCCTTTTGATGGAGGCAAATCCAGATGGGAGAGGTCAACAGAAACAGGCAGATGTAGTTTGTGAGGGGAGGGCCATCTCTCTCTTTAGAGGGCAGGGAGGGGATATGGCACATGTCTGCTCAAGGACCAGTCCCCCTACCCAAACAGCTCACCAGGAGGCAGCCCACAGCCCCTCCATACAGGAGACAGCCAGATGTGAGGCATGGGTGAGTCTCATCAACATGAGTCCCCCAATTCTTTGAGAATTAAGTGGCCTCTTGGTAATAGTCCAGGCAGCCTCTCAGATGATCTGCCATCCTGTTTTGGCCTCCAGCTTGGCTCCAGGGCCCTCCCAGGGTATCAGGGTCAGCTGTCTGGCCATCTGCTTGACCATAGAGCCAGGAGCCATGCTGGGGCAATTGGCCAGCCCTTTCATGCCAGCAGCCGTGACTGTGGTCAGAGCTCCTGGGGGAGCCCTGGTCATTCCCTATCTTTAAAGTGGTCTGGGCTTCCTCCACTGAGAATCCATGTCCCCCAGGAGTGGGTTTGGTGCCAGTTTGTATGTCTCCTGCTGCCAAGTGCCCCACACTACCCTGGTGGGCTGAGATGTCTCCCACTGTCCAGAGGCTCTGCCTGGCTCCCACCAGGCCCAGGTGCAGAGTAGGGTGGCTGGCAGCACCAGGGTCCATCCTGCCACACAGGTCCTGTCTCCTCCCACAGGGGCTGTGTGTTCTGAGCTGGGAATGTCCCTGAGGGGTCACTCTCTATAAGTTACTGTCCCTCACAGAAGGAGAAACAGGGTCAGGTGTCCCTGCCTGTCCCTATGTTTGGCTGACTCAGCATAGCCAGATTGGTGACATCACCATACCCACAGGTTCTCAGGCCCTTCCTGGACAGCTATCCACTCACCCCTGCCCCAAGGAAGGTGCATCTAGGTGGGGTAGCCCTCCACCCCTTGGATATGGAGCTGTTTCCCAGTGGTGAGCCAGCTGGCTGGGAAGTGTGGCATCCTCCGGGCAGCCTTGCTGATGCCCACCTCACAGGGAGAAGTCAGCCGTTACTTCATGATCCTGTGGAAGCCAGCAGGCCCAGGCAGTAGTTGAGAGGGGCAGCCCTAAGGGAAGTACCACCTGGCTCCCCTCTATCCACCATGTCCCCAGGCAGGTTTCCTTGTAGGTATCTGGTAACCATTTCCATCCTGGGCAAGAAGTTTCTACCACTGGTGTGGGTTCTGCTCCTGGGTACAGGTGCGGGGGGGCATGTGGCTTTCATTCTGCCCCCTCCCACCTGGCCCAGGGGAGTCTTCAACCATGGCCTGCTGAGATCCTGATGCCACCCTGAACCCTCCTTGCTCAGCCTGAGCTGGCTTTGCATGTGGGCATGATGTCCCACTACATCCTGGTCAGTCATCTTGCTTCTTGGCTTCTGTCTTTCTCCTGGGCAGATCCAAAGAGAAAACCACCTGCTGCCCACCAGCTCCACGTGGACAGCCCATGGCCCTGGCCTCATCAAGGCCTCCTTTGAGCAGAAACTCATCACCAAGAAGGGAAGCCTGTCTTAGTGGGTGACCAGGGCTCCCACTGGACCAAGGCCATGGAGTTGGCCCCAGCCAGTTTTAGGGCATTGGAGATGTCTGGCCCTGCCCTACTGGGGCACTCCCAGCCCTTTTCCATTGGTGCAGTCCTGGTGGCCTGTCAAGCAGCAGGTCAGCCCTCAGTGGACCCTCTCCACTTCTGTGGGATAGAGATTGCTTAGACCCCGCTTGGCTAGGAAGGGTTGGGGCCGCCATTTCAGCTGGTATGTGGACTTGCAGCCCAGAGCCGTGCTCCTGCTACAGGCTCCGCCACGGGAGGCCCAGGACTCTGCTGTGGATCTGGTCCTGGGTTGGTGGTCCACTGCCCCAGGCTCGTTTCCTTGTCTTCGGTCTGCCTGCAGACCGTGGAAGAATCCCCAAGCTCCGGGCTGAGCCCTCTGTCCATGGTCCTGCCTTCCCTTCCTGCAGAGCTTTCTCCAGTAGTTCCATAAGCTGGTCTCCATGGAGATACCCAGGTCATGGGGGGCCCAAGCATGTCTTTCTCCCTGGATATGTAGGGTGCCTCTTTGTCCCTGGTGATCGCTGAGAGCCGCTGGCCTGTCTAGATAGGTTTTCTGGGAATAAGGTCGGTTTGACACTCCTCACCCTTTGAATGCAAGGTCTGTAACTTAGGGAGAGTGTAATCCAAGTGCATAACTTCCCCGTTTAGAAGTGTGCAGTTTTGGGGTGCTCAGTACATCCCAGGGCTGTGCAACCCCCACCACCATCCAGTTCCTGAAGGCTTCCTCACCCCAGCCTGCCACTCTCTAGCCTGTATCCTGTCCCTGTGGGCTTGCCTGTTTCGGACATTGCCCACCAGTGGACTGAACATGTGGCTGAGGCCTTTGGTTGTAGTTTAGGGAAATGCTCAACCCTCACTTCTTTTGTGTTTGAGTTGGGCCATGCTGTGTTGCTCAGGCTGGCCTCTGACTCCTGGGCTCCAGCCGTCCTCCTACCTCAGCCTCTCGAGTACTGGGTCCCTCTGTACCCAGCTTGCTTCTTAGATATCTACTGTCCCTTTACTCTTCCCTTCCTGTGGGTTTCCAGTGATGCCCATCACAGTTCCTCACCCCTGTCCTCTGGGCATCTTTTTCCTCTGCCTTTTCTGCATCCTCCATCCGTCCGCTCCTTCCTTCCAGGCAGGCCTTTCACCCAGCATGCCTGGCTTCCCCCACCCCCCTCGCTGTGGCCAGGCCAGCACCTGTTGCCTCCCAAAGGCATGTGTGACCCTTTCTGTTCCTCTTAGGAGCCTGGCCCATCATGTGGGGCTCATCTTCCATGCTGACCATGCTCTTCAGGGGTCTCATGTGAACAAGACCCCAAGCCCAGACCTTGCTTATGCAGTGTTGGGGCAGGGGTGCCCTGGCTCAAGAACCACAAGTCTGAGTCTGGGTGGCCCCTGCTCCAGGCATCTTCCTGCAGCCCTCTTGGCACGTCTTTCTACTGTGACCTCCTGATAGGAGGAACCTAGTGCTCCCAGGGGTCCTGGCTGCCCACTCACCTCCTCCAGGGGGTAGCAGATCTTGCAAAGGTGGCCACAGAGGCCCCCAAGAGGAGCAGTATGTGGCCACAGCTCTGCACAGGCATGACAGCCACCTGTCCTTCAGTGACCGCACACATCCCAGATTCCTCCCTCTGAGCCATCTAGGAGACATAGACCAAAGGCAGTCAGCTGCATCAGCGCTTTCGTGGTATTGCAATTAAGGGGGTGGGGGCAGAAATGAGGCAGGCAGAGCTGTGTGCTGGGCCCAGGCCGCGCCTGCTACAGACCCCTCAAACCCCGCAACTCCCCAGGCACCCCATCCCCACAGTGGCTGCTAGACATTGTCAGGGCCTGAACTAGAGGGGGATTCCAGAAAGGGTCAGTGAGAAGCAGAAAGGCCCGGTGTTGCACAGACTGAGTAAAAAGTGCCCACAGGTGCAGTGGCACATGCACCAGTCGTCCTGGCTACTCAGGAGGCTGGGGCAGGAGGACCACAAGTTCAAGAGCTGCAGGTATAACCCAGTGGTGAAGCACTCTGGGCTCAGTCCTCAGGCCACAGATAAACAACAGTGAGTGTCCACAGCCATGGTGCAGGGCTGCTTGTGCCACCAGGCAGGATGGCCTTCTGGAGGAAGGGGGAGCTCTAGCTACAGGCACTTGGAGGAGGTTCAGTTTGGGTCTGGGAGGCTGTGGTATGTCACTGGTCTGGTCCCACCCATACTCTGTACCCACCCTTCCCAGTGTTTGTCCCATGTCTTGCTGGGGCCTGGGAGTGGCTTCTAAGCCACACCCTGCCAGGCTCTGGCATTCAGAGCACTGCTGCACAAGATGACAGCTCCTGTGGTCTGGAAGAGTCCCTGGAGGCTAGCAAGCCTCCAACCTGCTCAGGACTACAGCCTCCCCGTCGGAGCCTCAGGGTCACAAGGCAGCCCCTGTGCTGGCGAACCCCAGATCCTGCAGATGTCCGCTCCCCATAGCCCAAGGCATGGGCTCCTCCCTCAGCTGCAGCCCAGGGAGGTGCCCTGTGCACTGTGTCCTCACACGGCAAGCACTGATCTTGCCATCTGGGCCAGAGAGGGTCCTCCTCCTGCACAGACTACCAACTTCAGAGGGACGAGAAGCTTCCAGAGCCATCTGTTCTGGTGCTGGTGGCCCACAGCCTTGTGGGGCGACCTGCCCTGTTTTGAAGGTGCAGTATGGGCTAGACCGCGACTTAGATCCTCCACCAGCTTCTAGAAGCCCTCATCCTGGCCCCACACCTCGGGAACAGCCTTCACAGTGTAGGTAGAGACACTGGTCTTCAAACCACTGGCTTCTGATGCTCTGAGGGCCTGCTTTCTCTGGATATGGGCAGCATTGTCCACAGTGTGGGCAGGCAGCAGAGGGAGGCCATCTCTGGAAGGCCTGAAACCACTGCCCACAGTCCCTCAGCCCTGGGGCTGCAGCTGAGTGGGACTGCCTGAGGCCCATCTGGCTGGTTGTCCCTCTCTTGAACAGGGTGCTGGAAGGCTCAGGGGTGACTTCTCTGAGGTGGCTCTGGAGCCAGTGGTGTTTCTTGAAATGTATGACTCATCTGCAGCAATCCTGTGGGTCTGGCCCAAGGTTGGCCTCCCGCAGAGCACTCTGACCTGGGAGCTGTGAGGCTGGCTGGCTCCTGCACCCACACCCTGTTCCTCCAGGTACATCCAGACGCTGAAGGACCACAGGCCCCGTATGGTGTGGGACAGCCAGGCTGCAGAGCACTTCTTCGAGTACAAGAAGTGAGTGGGGCAGGTACTGCCAGCCTGGGGAGGGTAGAGTGGGAGAACAGTGGGGACCAGTGCCAGACTGCAAGTGACCACTTCCAGGTGTCTGTCCCTGACTTTACGGGTGTGGGGAATACAGCCCCACAGACTCGGCTGGAGCCAGGGAGGTGGACAGTTCCTCTTGTCTTGCAGGAACCGTGGCGGAAGGCACGTCGTCTTCTACCCAACTTTAAAGGTATGTGCCAGGTGTGCTGGCTGCTGCCCAGGGAGGTGGGACAGAAGCTTTAGTCAGACACGGAGGATGCAGCAGTGCTAGCTCTTCCCACATGAGGGCCCTTGCCTGCAGTGCCAGCCTGCCCAGGAGCCCAGGAGCCCTGGAGCCCAGGAGCCCTGGAGCCCAGGCCACTCTCCCCTGTTGCCCCAGTGTGTGGGTGCAGAGCTAGGCGAGACCCACACCTGTCTGTACCCACAGTCCCTGCAGGTGCGGCTGGAGCTGGCCAGAGAGCTGGGTGTCGGGGTCTCCATCTGGGAGCTGGGCCAGGGCCTGGACTACTTCTACGACCTGCTGTAGACTGGGCAGCAGTTCCAAGGCAGCGTGGACTCTCTTAGTCACAGAGCGACTGGTTGAGTGAAATACAGGCCTCTGCCGCTTGCTGTGAGTGTCTGCTGTGATCCCTGTCCTGGCAGGAACTCTGGGACAAGAATCTGTCCCCTCCCACAGCCTGCTGTGGGCTCAGGGCTTGGGTCTCTCCAGCACTTCCCAGGCTTTGGGCTAGATGTGGATGTCCCACACTTGCCCCACAACTGCACTCGAGGCCTCTGTGGGGATGGCTGCCACAGGGCAGCAGTGAGAGCCTGCACCTCCACTGGTCACCTGGCCAGGCACCTGCTACCTGCAGCATCCCCCCCCCCCCCACTGAGCCTGGTGTGACTGGATGTGGGGCACCCCCCTGAAGCCCTGGCCCAGCTCTGCACTTGTCACAGTGGAGGGCAGCGAGACCTTCCGCGCTGAGTCTGGGTGGGCTCCATCACCCTGTGTGCATGTGGGAGCCACTGAGATGAGCACAGGGAGACACCTGTCCCCGTGAGCAGTGGAGTACCAGGGGTGGTGTGGAAACAGGGTGGGTCCCTGGGGCCACTGAGAATGGGGGTGGGTGGTGACAGTGAGCCACACCTGGTTCTGGTTTCTTTTTTCCTGTGCTGGGGACGGAGCCCAGAGCCAGAATAAGTAAAGTGGATGCTGTCTCAGAATTGACGGGGACTGGCAGAGGAGAGGGAGGCGAGTCAGTGGGAGCCAGTATAGCCAGGATGTGGAGATTGGTGGATCTGGAGCCAGGCAGTGACCAAGAACTGTCTGGTAGGGGTGTCCTTGGTTTGGGGGCAAGCACAATGGGCAGAGAGGGGTCCTATGTTGGACCCCAGGGCATGGCTGAGGCCTTGGGAAAAGGGAGGGTACCACACCCTGGTTTGCGCTGAAGACAGCTCTCACTTCCTCCCCAGGTGTGTGAACAGGTGGCTTTGGTGGCTAGCTGTGTCCAGATCTCCCAAGTCCATGTTGGTTAGATTCCCTGAGGTCCTGTAGCTCCCACTGGAGGGAGGACAGTGGGATATGAGCAGTCACATTGAGCTGGGACATGGGGTGAGGGGGGTTGGTGTCAGCACTGCGAGTGGCCTGGGTGGTGTTCTTTCCTCCCAGGTCATGGCCAGAAGGTGGGTGACAGAGGATTGGGGGTTATGTAGGTGAGGGAGGGAGGGAGGGTGGGATCCCAGAAGGCAGTGCTGAGGGGCTAAGGAATTATGGGAGTAGTTTAGGGGCTGGATGTTTTGCAGCAATTGAAGCTCCTTGGAGGAGCTCAGCCCCACCTTGAACTCCAGGCCATCCTCCCTGCAGCCAGGGGTTCCTTCTCACCCCATTAGAGGGATATTTGGCCTGGAGGTGGTTTGAAACATTTTGACCATTTTTCTAACTCCATGCCCTTTGACAATGGCTGTCTTTCCATCAACCCACTTCATTTGCAAAACTCATATAAGCTTAATCCCGGAAGTCAGAGTTCTGGACAAAATAGAACAGGCTGGGCAGGTGGGGATGTGCCACCCCTGCCCCGGCCCCGCCCCACGCCTCCTGGGCTAATGCTGAGCTTCCCTGGTGTTGGCTTGTGGCTGCCCATCCTGCAGGCGTCCAGGGAGACACGGGCTGCTCACGCACTTTATTAGGATGCACCTGGAGCTGCAGCCCCTCAGAAATGGATGATGGGGGCCCAGCCTGTCTGGAGCACCAGGACCTGTGCAGGGTCTCCAAGGGGTCAGACCTACTCCCCCATTGTCCTCGGGCAAAGGGGACCATGGCCCAGCACCCCCCCATCCCATGTGAACACTGCTCTGGAAGACATAAAAAAGTATCAAAGCCCCTCCCATGTAGGCAGGAGACCCCATGGCTGCCCATGCTGAAGCATTCCAGGAATGGGGTCCTGGGGGTTCAGGGCACCAGCCTCTCCCCTGAGCCCAGCAGAGCACCAAGTCCTGCGATGTGTGGGGGCAGGTTTGGATACAGCCCTGTCCCTGGTGGGTGGTGTCCTTTGGCAGAGAAGCAGGGTGGCCCGTGGTCTAAGCGCAGTAGGTGTCCGCCTTTACCACTTGGCAGTACATGGTCATGGCGAAGGTCAGGCCCAAAATCTAGGGACAGGAAGGAGATAGGCAGGGCTGCTGAAGGGAGCCACAGACCTCTGCTGCCAGGTGCAGCCGGCCCTCCCTGACCTGCTGCCGCAGTGCCTCCTGCACAGCACCTGCTTACCAGCTGTGAGGCCCCAGAGACACATTTCTTGTAGAGTTTCAGCCACGTGGCCCCCATCAGCACTCAAGGACTGTGTTCTGCAGCTTGGGTCACATGACCCTCCCTGCTTGGCCCAAGGCCCCTGCAGCTTGCTCACTGTGCCTCAGCCTAGCTGTGTCTACTTCTGTGTGTGTCACCCAGGCTGGGTGGGCTGCCCTGGTGGCAGGTCTGACCTCATTCTGGAGCACTCTGGTGCTGATGCTCAGGGCTCCCACCTGGACTGGGAGCTGGGGCCACAGGCATCAGGATGCATCTTGTACTGGGCAGTCCTACGACTGCCAGCCTGGGGCTGCAGGAACCACGCACGCTGCCTCCCCTGCTAGGAGACCAGTGCTGGCAGCACCCGATCTGAAACACCAAAGGTCACCTCCCCCATTGTCACCCCTGACCATGCTCTGTGAACCCACATCTGCCCATGACACCTAGAGTCCGCACCTGAAACTTGGGCCACCCCAATCCCAAGCCCTCCCAGGGCAAGGCCATTGCTGCTTTTCCCTGGGCTCAAAAGCCCCCCCAGGCCCTGCCCGGCGCACCTGCACCAGTGCCGTGCACAGCCCAAAGATGCCCACAGCCAGCAGATTCTCCTGGAGCCAGGCCTTCACCGTCTCATAGCAGGGCTGTGGGAGAGTGGAGTCAGCCAGGCCTTGCCTGTCCCATCCCCAGACCCCAGAGGGTGGACTGCACTCACCGCCTTCCACCAGGTGCCAGGCGCATGCAGCCCACAGCTGTCACTGAACTCCAGGCAGCAGGAGTCAGGCACACGGGTGGCATTGTAGACCTCAAACCAGTCCGTGTAGTTGGAGACACCACAGCAGCGGAACTGGGAAAGCAGTGTGTTGGGGCTGGCCAGAGAGGCAAGGGCAGGCAGGGGGCACCACTCCAGCCTTTGCCCCCCCCCCACTCCCCCAGCCATGCCTCACATCAGTCTGAATGATGCTCCAGGCGTTGGTGAGGCCCACGTTGCCCTGTGTGCCATACAGATGCAGGCCCTTCTTTAGGTCTTGCTGGGCGTACCTGTCAATCTGGGAGTGCAGTGGGGTCAACAGCACTCTCTAGTGGGTGCCTTCCAGCTCCACTGCCTCCCTCAGCCAGACCTGCCCTGCCCTTGTCCTGCTCTCACTTCCTGGAGCCCACCCCATCGTGCCCAAGGATACAGCTCCCAGCCTTATGTCCTTCTGGAAGCCCTCAAGGGCCCCAGGGCCTCAACCCCAGGCTGGCAGGGCCTTGAAGGGCCTGGGATAGAGCACAGGCTGAGTGGAGGCATATACGTCCACTTAGTACAGACAGGTTTGTCTGCTCTGCAGCTGACAGCCTGGCTACTATGCCCAGGTCTTGACTTCAAGGTCATTCTCTGGTGAAGGAGCCAGAGCCCCTGGGGAAGCAGAAACCCCAGGACCGGCTGGGGTAGACACAGTAGGCCCTGAGCATCCTGTAGTGCCAGAGTCGGGGAGGTCTCCACAGAGAAGCCTGTGCTGGGGGTCATGACCACAACCCTGGGTATCAGACCCTCCTGCTAGAAATGGGTAGCCAGGCACAGTGGCCACACTTGTAATTCCAGTGACTCAAGAGGCTGAGGCAGGAGGATTGCAAGTTCAAAGCCAGCCTCAGCAGCTTGTTGAGACTGTCTCAAAGTAGAAAGGGCTGGGGGTGCAGCTCAGTGGTAAAGCACCTGTGGGGTCATTCCCCAGTACCACAACAAATAGCAGCAGCAAGTGGGAAGAAGAAAACCCACAGCTGGGAACAGTGGCAACGACACCATGTGACCCAACACTCAAAGCATGCACTCGCCAGAGGTTGTCCAGCAGCCTGGCCACGAGTGGGCAGTGCTGCTCTGCCACCTGAATGACCATGGCCCCCCCAGGGGGCCACTGTGCCTCAGGAGAGTCCCCACCAGCCTGTGCTGCTGCCTGGACTCCGCAGCCTTACCTTGTCAGTGTAGGCGAAGAAGAGCACAGCAATGGTGGCCTCCAGCAGGAACACCAGCAGCAGCAGCAGGAAGAACTGCAGAGGGTGGGAGCAGGGCCTCAGCCCCAACCTGCCGGCAGGGCCCCGGATCAGCGCCCTCCACCTCCACCCTCAGCCGCTCTGCACACCTCAAGTGGGAGAAGCCCGGTTCGCTAGGCTCTGGCCCTCGCTGCCTCTGGGATGTCCTCACGGGGACATGAAATAGGTCCAAACCCACTTACTCATCTGGGACTTTATGGGGCCCATGAGTGTTCCTGCCCCCTCCCCGGGGCGGGGCACGGAGGGAGTGAGTCAAAGACCTGAGCAGGCCCTACCCAGGAAACCCCGAGACTCAGGACGCCCCCTAGCCCTGCTGCAGGACCCAGCTGGCAGTGGTAAGGCGCCTCCTCCGGAGCTCACTTTCCCAGGCCAGGAAGCGTCCCTCCGGGAACACTGTAAGGCCAAGGTGAGGGTCTCTGGAGGGTCCTGAAGGCAGGCAGGTAGGTCCAGGCCCAACAGAGCTGCACGTGTAGCAGGGCGTGCCCAAGTCCTGTTGACAGGCCACTGCACTCCCCCACATTCTGAGAGCACCCCACAGCCCCTCAGGCCAGGACAGAGGTGGAGCTGGCCGAGACCGCACAGCCCCAGGACCAGGCACACTCACGGTGAGCAGCAGGCACTTGTTCTCCTTGAGGGCCCCAATGCAGCCCACAAAGCCGATGGCCATGACGAAGGTGCCTGTGACGATGAGCAGGTTGGCAGCTGACAGCGACGGAAAGGAGGAGGACAGGGTGGCGAAGTTCCCCTGTGTAGCAGCCAGCCAGATACCAACACCCAGGACGCCACAGCCTCCCAGCTGGGGCCGCAGTACCGAGGAAGAGAAACAGGATGAGGCCACCCCCAGGGAGCTCCTACCCCGACCCTCACCAGCCCCACTGGCCTCCAGGGTCAGATACTCCCAGCACCCCCACTCCTGCTGCCTGCAAGAAGCACCCGGCTTGTCCCTTCTGCTGTCCTGCAGGTCCACCCACACCAAAGCCTAGTGCCCACCACAGGAAGGCCAGGACAGGCAGGTCCACCCCTCTGGACCACATGAGGTGGTCAGGCTTTTCAGTGGGTGGTCCTCAGGATTCCAGACACCAGGCCCTATGTCGCCACCTTCCCTGGATCTCAGGTGTCTGTCTGTGCCCTGCACCCCAAGAAGGGAAAACCTGGCTCCTGGTGCATCTGCTCATGATGAGGTCATGGTTCCTCACTGCCACCTGGACCTCATCCCCTCCCTGGATTCAAGAGCTGCTGACCCCTGAGACTGGAAGTAGGAGGGTCTCGCCTCTGCACAACCACCTGGACCTCATCCCCTCCCTGGATTCAAGAGAGGGACTCTGAATTCCCTCATTGCCCATCATCACGAGAATCAATAAAGTAAGAGCAAGCATGGTGGTGGTCTGCAATGGTGACCAACAGGGTCTCAGGAGCAGGGTTGGGAGCTGGGAACCACGGCTCAGCCCTTGTCCCCACTGAGGTCTTGGGTTCTGGTGGTTTAGGATAAAAGCAGAGAATGTGTGCAAGGTGGTGTGTGGGTAGGGAGGTACCACCAGCTACTAGGCTCTGGGACTGCCACAGCCACTCCTGGGATGGAGCTACTGGAGACCCGCATACGCCCCAGGGCAGGCTCGAACCCAGATGTGCACAGCTCCATGGAGACGCAGCATCCACCCAGGGCCACAGGGACCTCACCACCCCACAAAAGGCTCCTGAGCCCTGGTGGCCAAAGAAACGGAGCCTGGGCCCTGCAGGAGACAGAACCCTGCCCCAAGAGGCCTGGGTGCAGGGAGATGCCACCCATCCCCACTTGCACACTGGACCCTCCTGATTCAGACTTCAGCCCAGGTGGCAGGGTCAAGGGCAGGGCTGGCAGCCACTGCTCCCTCAGTACTAGCTGGCCAAGACACGTGATGCACTTCCTGGTCAAGCCCAGCTGGCAGGAGCCTGCAACAAAGTCGGGGCATGAAGCTCCTGCCCAGGCCTCTCACTGGTGTCTCGGGCCCCTCTGGGTCAAACCCCGGGAGACGGGACAGTCCCCTGCTGAGCACCCATGACCTTGCCTGTCCAATCTTTCCGGGGTGAGTGCAGCCATTTTCTCTGCCCGGTAATTCCTGCTAAAAACCAACACTTGCACTTGGCATTCAGCAACAGAACATCTAGATGCTGTGAACTCAGCCTGACCTGGGAGCTGCTGACCCCTGAGACTGGTCACTGTGCTCGTGGGACTCTCCCAGGCCAGGCCAGGGCAAGCGTAGGAAAAGCATGGGTCCCTATGTTCTGGACCCAGGGAGGGGCTGTTGTGGACCTGGCAGAAGGCCTTGCCACACACCCTCAGATGGCTCCTGAGCAAACCTGGCCAGGGGCTGCCACAGAGGAGACCCTGGCGAATGGAGAAGGGTGCATGTGCCTCAGGTGGCACGAATGTCCCCTTGCTGTGGGACCAAGTTCTGCCATGGGATGGAGGAAAGCCCTCCACCCCCAGGCACCAGCAGCTGGGAGTGGGGTGCCATCCGTGGTGCTGAACAAGCAAGGCAAGGGGTGGCGGCTGGATGCTGCGCAAGTGGGTACTGCTGTTTTCTGGGGGTGGGGGAGGCCTGGCCAGGCACCTGCTCACCTCGTACTCCTCCTGACCATGTCCCCTGCATCATGCCCCAAACACAAAGCTTCCACGAGCCATGACAGACAGGGTCCCTGGTGTGCCCTAGGCCATGTTCGTGGCCTAAAGCAGTCCCCAGGCCTGGTGGGTCTTCCAGGACCCAGTTGGGTACCGAGGCAAACAGGCACCTGAGCTGCTGTGCAGGAACACCGGGGGGAGACACACCCGGCCTTGTCCAGCACTGCCCTAGCAGGGCCAGGGAGGTTGGAGGGCAGGGCTCCCCAAGGCCCGCTGGGTCTGCGTGGAGGAGCCTGGACACCATAGGGAAGGAAGAGGCAGGCCCTAGGGTCAGGCCCACCCACAGGGCTGACCCCAGGCCTGGTGCCTGGCTCAGTGCAGCCTTGGCTGTGGCCAGTCACACCGGGAGGGCCGCACCTTGGGGCTGAGCACCCAGGCCAGTGATGGGCAATCCCTGAGCAGAGGGGAGGTACATGTCATTCAAAGCCCCACTGCCTGCACCAGCCACCTCTGCCTTTCAAGGGCGGCAGACAACGTGTGTCAGCAGGAAAGCAAGCTGCTGGAGCAGCCCTGGCACGGGACACACAGGTCATGGGTTGGACACCACCGTGGAGAAGGGCTGGCCCCAAGGAGGAGTGCCCATTCCAGGAGGTGGGCCAGTCCCCAGGACAGCCTGGGCAGGTCGGGACCCTACACCTCAGCCCCACCCTCAGATGGGAACTGAGCACTCCACAGACACCTTGCCCACCTACTTGGCCACTGCCCACACTGACAGGCGACACCAGCCCACACACCACCAGACACTCTTCACACCACACGGCAGTACACACACACGGTCACATGATACTACACCCTGAAGCCCACTGTCCCCTGGGGCCCACCCCTCCCACAAACAGCAGGCATGGGCACACAGACGGAATCCTGCACAGGCAAGGAAAGTCACCGAACCTGTCACTTCAAAAGTGTTTCTGCACATGCAGCTTTTGAAACATTTGGGCAGGAAGACTACAGCCTTGGGCTGGGGTTGTGGCTCAGTGGTAGAGCACTTGATTAGCATGTGTGAGACCCTGGGTTCAGTTCTCAGCACCACGTATAAATAAATAATAAATGTTCATCAACAACTAATAAAAAAATTAAAATTTTTGCTTAAAAAAAAATTACAGCCTCGTAGTACAGGAGAAATGGGCTCATTAGCCTCAGAGACAGACGCAAAAGACAGAGCTCAAGGGCTGGGAGGCTGGAGTGGTCGTCTCCGGGGTCAGACGTGGGGGGCTGGGACCTCCCGCTCCAGCACTCCTTCTCCAGCCCCCAGAGACAGACTGCCTCTCACTGTGGGCGGGAGGCAGGACCCCTAGACAGCCTGGGGGAGGGGCCAGGCATCCTGGGGGACGGCAGCTGAGGAGACACAAAGGAGAGGGGCTTCCTGCCGTCCATGTCCCCAGCCCAGCTTTGAGAAGAGATCACTGGATCTAGTAACAGACTTCATTTGGTGATCTTGTCATAAGCAGTTTCAGAGAGATCTGAAGACTGGAAGTCAAACAGGGGTACGCAGAGATGCTGCACACGACCGACTTCTGGGTGCTATCTGTGCAGCTTACCTGGCCCCTGAGCTCTGCTGACTACTGATACCCATGGCAGCCCCTGGCTTCATGGAGGCTGGTAGTGCCTGGCATCCATCAAATGTGCCCTCTCCACTGGGGCTGGTGCCAGCCAGCCCTCCACCCACCACCCGTCCGGCCACAAAGCACAGTGTAGCAGATGGACAAGCAGCTGGCCACGTCCTGGGAACAGGGTGGAGGGCTAGGTCCCTGCAGAAGCCCCTCTCCTGCCAGGTTGGCAGAAACATGACTGGTCTTGGCTGGGAGGTTGGCCACCAGGTAGAGTGAGTTTTCTTACTTAAACTTGGATGTAATTTGTCCACTCCCAAGACCTGCCCACCCAGCAGAGCACCAGCCTAGAACCCACAGCTGGGCAGGCGACCCCCACCCTGCCACAGCAGCCCATCAGGGAGCCACCTACTCTGCAGGGCAGGCAGGACTGTGGTTTCCCCCTGGGGTGTGCTTTCCTGTCATCCCCGCTACTGGCTGATACAGGCAGTAAACGGAGGGTTCCCTCAGTGTCCTGGCTCTGCCCTTTGCTGTCCCCTCCTCCATCAGACTCAGGACACCCTCCTCAAGGGCCAGCAACAGAGCCACTGTCAAACATCATCTCAGTTCACCAAGGGTGAAAGAAAACCAAGGGCTAGGCAAGGCCTCTGCCTGGTGACTGGCAGGACCTTCCTTTAGATTCCAAGGCTACCACGGGGAGCAGCCCAGGCAAGACAGAGCCCAGAGAGGCCCAGGCCCCTCCCAGCAGAGATGGCAGGCAGAGCATATACCCTGCACCTCCTCCAACCTGGGGCCTCTGCCCACCTGGGGTCAGCACAGGCAATGGGCAGATGAGGGTCCTCCCACATCTCTGTTCTGGGGTCCTGATCCTGCCTTAGGCACAGCCCCCAGGGGGTGCCGAGGAAGAAACTGATGCACCCAGCCAGGCAGGACTTGCTGAGGTCCTGGTGTCTGGGTAGTGGAGACAGGCTGGCAGGTAGGGCTCTGACTCCTACTCTGGCCACCTAGATAGTCCCTGACCACAGCATGCAGGGAACAGCTGGGGGCTTCTGCTGAGAAAGGCTGGGAAGGGCATAAGGAGGGAGGCCTCCTGAGCAGAGTGGGGAGGGGCCACTGTCTGGGAGAAAGCTGCGTGGCTGAGGTCCAGGCCAGCACCCGGCCCGTACAGCTAGGGAAGCATCCCCATCCTGCTGGCAGGCTCGGCCCCACTCAGACTGGCCACCGGGCTGGAGCAACTGCCCGTGGGCAGAGCCCCAAGTTAGGGCAGGGGTGGGGAGGGGCAGGAAGAGCTTGCTTTGCTGCTGCCCCACCCCTGGGGACCTGGAAGAGCTTTGTTGGCAGAGACCCAGCTGATGACACAGCCTCAGGCCTGAACACAGGGGTCCCCGGGGCCACCCCATCCCCACCCCTTCACCACCACTGGCACCACAGCCCACCCCACCTCGTTCATGGGCCCTGCACTCTCCTTCTCCCACAGGATGGCCTGCCGGGGGACACCCCGGGTAAGGGACCCCGAGTCTAACCTGCCACTCCACTGTGCACATCTCAAAGGAAGGCTGGGCAAAGCCACTGCTACCCACAGAGCCAGTCGGCTGGAGGAGGCAGCTGCCAGGGGTGTCCCAGCAGGGGTCACGGGGTGGGTGCCCTCTGAACTCTGGTTGCAGGGTTAGCTCCAACTGGGAGGTCAAGGAAGCCACGCAGAAGGGGAAGTCCTGTCAGCTGATCTCCCAATATGAGTGGGAAATGGAGTGGGGGCAAAGTCCCTCCTACGGGCAACAAAGGGCACAGGGTCCCAGGTCAGGAATGAACCAGCCCCACCTCTCCCACCCACAGCCTGTCACCGTTCAGAAGGGGTTCAGGGAAAAGACAGGGTGGACATCACACCTGCCAGGACCAAGGCAGGAAGCTCCCCTAAGCCCAGCACAGTCCTGCCTGTTCACAGCCCTGCGTACTCCCCTGTGGTGGCCTCCAACCCAGGACACAGCCCCTGCTCCGGTCCTAGGCCTCAGACCTACTGGGCACCATTTGGGGAGAGGGTGGCAGGCAGGTGTGTGAGACTAGCTGCAAGGGACTTAGGTCTGAGGCTGGGGAGTATAATTGGGTAATAAAAGAGAATCAGATTTTCCAGCCTAGGGGTCCCCAGGGACCGCTGATTTCTTCTTTCCCAGGTGGAGGACATCATTTAGGGAACAGCAGAATGTGCCTGCTCTGTAGCTGTAGGGTGCATATAGGGTGCAAGGTCCCACAGGGGGGGCCTAGACTGCTGAGACCCCCTTTGAGGCCCCCTTCATCTCTTCCCTGCAGACAGGTGTCCAGGTCAGGAAAGAGAGGGTAAGCAGATCCCCATCTCCTGCCCAGGTCCTGCCACTAGGTTGCCTGTCTCTTCACACCACCACCCACTCCCCTTCCCACTGCTGGAGACTTGCTGACCCTGCACTGACCACATTGGTGCCCACTGAAGCTGCCCAATCTTACCAGGAAGACATTTCCCCACACACCCACCCTGCCGCCCACTTCCTGGCCTACAGGGCACTGCTCAGCCTGAGGCCTGGGTCTTGCCCCTCCCAGAACTCTCTTGCAGAGGACAAACCCTTGAGGTGACCCCTTCTGGAGTTACTCCCCACAGGCAGCCCAGGATGGCTGCCCTTCTCTGTGACCCCCCAGCCCCTGCCCCAAGCCAGGCCAGGCAAGAAGGTGGACCCAGGTTACAGCATGTGCCAGAACTGAACCACATGCACATGGCAGCACCTCCGAAGTCTGAGCTCAGCTGCGTCTCCTCACTCCTGACTCAGTGGTAAAAGGAGAGTCCGCACAGGAACTAAGGACAGAGCCTGGAATGACCTGGGGTGTCATTTCTCCACCAATCCTTCCCAGCCCAGCCAGTGAAGCCCCAGGCCCAGCTCAGGTAATGGGAGTCCCCCGCCCCCAGCTCCTCTGCGGGGTCTAGCCAAGCTTGCTCCAGAGCAGCCAGGTGTGGAACCTGCCGGGGCCCATCCTCCCTGGTGTTCTAGGCTGGAGGGGGTCACCCTCTGCTCCACCAGCAGGCAAGTCCCAACCCCTGCTGCCTCTCTTGCTTGTCAGCAATCCCCGTTGCACCTCTACAAGTTGGGGAGGCTGGGAGCCAGCGCCTCCCCAGCTCGCCCAGGAGTCCCTTAAGGTCCTGCCGCTCACTCAGGCCGTGCACACTATTTCTGGGGCCCTCTGGGTGACTGGGGTCCACCTAGGCTTGGCAAAGTTTCCTCAGGGCAGTCCTGGGGAAGGAGTCCCAGGGTTAGCGCTACAGAAGAAGGGGGCGAGGCAAGGACGCAGGCTGTGGAAGCCCAGAGGCAGAGGGTAGGTGCCCGCGCAGTGCTGGCCCTGACCAGGACTGGAACCCCCACCCCAGCAGAGGCTCAGGGTCGGGAGGGCCCAGCCCCATCCGGCGTGCACGTGCGCAACACATCCTGTCTCAGCAGGAGGGGCAGGCGGGCAGCCCAGGAAAGCAGAGGTCCGGCGACACCCCGCGGCTGGTCAGCCAGACAGCAGCCCCGGGCCCTCCCCAGGTCCTGGCCCCCAGCCCTCCTCGAGCAGCCACGCTGCCCGCGCACTCACCCAGAAGAGCAGGTTGAAGGCGAACATGAGGTACTTGACACCCTGGAGGCAGCCGCGCGCCATGCTGCAGCGCTTCAGCTCTAGGAGGAAGATGAAGGACAGGTCCAGGTAGAAGACCACGTACTTGTTGCCCTTGGGCGACGTGTGGCGGGCCTGAGCCGCCTTGGGGCCGGGGTTCGCGTGCACGCCGAAGAAGGGGCTGCCGCCCGCGTCCTCAGCATCCCCGGTGCCCGCGCGCCCATACAGACTGCTGCAGCGCCGGAAGGGGCCGCCGCGCGTGAAGCCCGGCTCCTTGCCCTCCGGCGACGGGCTGCGCCGGTACGTGGACTCGTCCGTGCTCGAGCGGCGCATTGCGCCGGGGTGGCCGGGGCCACGGCCGCCAGGAGCACCGGCTCTGGCCGCAGTCAGCGCCTGGCGCTCGCGGTCCCGGGCCGCCCCATCCCGCCCTGGCCCGGCCCCCGCGGTGGCAGCGGGCGCGCAGCTCCGCGCTTCCCGACACCTGCCCGCCGCCGCGCCCCGTGCCGACCGCCAATCCGGCGCCGCCCCGCCCCGCCCTGCCGGCCAATCGCCTGGCCCGGGGCGCGCCCCCACCCTTGCGGGGTAAGGAAGAGGCCCACCGAGGCCAGAGGAGCCTTTGAGGGGGCAGATACTAAGCCCCGCAGCTCGTCCCCCAGCCCACGCCCCTGGCCCACCTCACCCCACACTGGCCCGCCACGAGACGGTGGCAGAGCAACCTCGACCCGTGCGAAGGATGTGCAAAGCTCTGTGCAAATTTAGGGGTGACCCCGTTGCTGTTGGTGGCAACGTGGCTCCAGCTTTAGGTACCTTGGGGAGCCCTGGATGCCCCAGAGGGATTGCCTGAGAGGTTTACTCACTTAAAAGGAGGGACCAGACAGAGGAGCACAGGAGTGACCCCAAAGAAACCGGCAATTCTCCACAGACCCAGGGTGCTCAGGCTGGGTTCTTCCCCAGTCCTATCTCCTAGACTTGGGGAGCAGGGCCTGCTTCACAAGCAACCAAACAGTGAATGTTGGTCTTGAGAATCCACTGATACCATCTGAAATTCTCTGTAATTTCTGAACAAGATGTCCTGAATTTCAGCCTGTAGCCAGAGACCCCACCCCTCCCAGGCACCAGCAAACAGGGGAATAGGCATGGATGACCATGCACTGGTGAGCACACACAAGTTCCAATAGCCCATCACATGCCCACAAAGGTGGAGGACAGATGTGGGCCCATGCACCACCCCATGTCTCTGCAGCTCCAGCCGGCTTGGGCAGAGGCAGGGGGACCACAGCAGCCACAAATGTGCTCTGCACCCTGGGTTTAAGGCTGCAGCCAAGGCTTTCCCTGTCACCATGATGGTCATAATAGTGGTGCCCACTCCATGGACAATCCCGGAAACTTCAGTCCAAAGAGGGAGGTCTTGCTCAAGCTCCCAGACAGTCCCCGGCAAAGTGGAGGCTAGGAGAAGGAATGAGGAAGGGCCAACAGAGGGAAAGGAGGGGTGCCCATTGGCAGGGCTGACCAGATCTAAAAGCCCAGGCCTTTAAAAAGAAAGAGATGGGGTTGGGGCTGTAGCTCAGTGGCAAAGCACTTGCCTTGTACATGGGAGGCACTGGGTTCAATCCTCAGCACCACATACACAAATAAAATAAAGGCATGCTGTCCATCTACAACTATCAAAAAAGTTTAAAAGTGGGAAGTGGCTCTGGGAACCGTGGGTACCCAGTGAGGTCCACCCCTCTGGAGGCTGGAGGGTTCACTGCACCAGCCTTCTGCTGCCCCCTGAGGGTTCCGTGAGGATCTGCAGCCCCAGCCTTGGCTGGGAGGCAGAAGAGCCCCGTGCACAGGAAGCCTATCAGGAGGTCTCCGCCTACCACATGGCCAGCCTGGGGCTTCCCACTACCTCCCTCATCCCCTAAGGATTCTCTGGTGTTGTGGGCCCACATACCAGGAGCCCAGCTGAGAAGCAGGAAGCAGAGTCCTCCCTCAAGGCCCTGCAGAGACCACTGCCCACAGCTCTGCCCAGGGAGCAGGTAGCAAACAACGACCCCACAAGACCCCTGGCGATCCCCTTACCCCCTGCCCAACAGCCAGCCTTGCACACCCGAGGGTGGACACACAGGGCTTGGGGGAAGTGAATGCACTTGTGGACACAAGAAGGGCAGAAGCCACAGGGTTCCAGGGAAGGCTTAGGGCTGACCAGAGGTGCTGACCTCTACGACCAAAATCACCACCCACATTACATCACACACTGACACTCCCCCCCAGCTCTGGAGTCAACTGCTAGGCTCCCTCTTAGGTGGCCCTGCAGCCCGGGGACACACAGACTCAACCACCGGACAACCAGATCCCCAGCAGTGCCCACACAGTCAGCTCCCCTCCTTGAAGACCAAGAACAGGAACTGCCAGCTGAGTGGGGAGCCCAGGGCAGTCTCCCCACAGCCTGACTCCAGAGCAGGGTACCCAGAGCCAGGCAATCCTGAGCCCCAGCTTTCCAGCACCCCAAGTGGCAGAAACTGGAAGGGCAACAGTTATGGACAGGGTGCCCCAAGAGGTGCCAGAGGGTCTGGGGAAAAGGGAGGAAAAAAGGGACCTGGTCCGAGCTCCAGTACTGAGCCCAGCACTCAGGATGCCACTCCAGTGTGCCGCACCTGCACTGCTCTCCCTTCTCCAAGACCCTGCACACAACACCCACATTAGCAGATGAGGCCCGTCTGACATGAAACCCGAAACCCAACCCAGGGCCCCAGGGCAGTCCAGCAAGGACTGGGCTCACTTCCGCGCCAAGTTGGATTCAGACAGTGGCATGTCACCTGTCCACAGCAGGGCCCAGGGTAGGGACACCGTGCCTCCCTGGCCCAGTGCCCAGCCCCTCACCACAAGGGTCCCATCCTCCACAGTGTGGGGATGTCTCTCCCAGAGCCTGAAAGCCAGCAGGCCAGGCCTCTGGGCCTGGTGTGGAAGACCAAGAGGCAGCCCCCGCGCTGCCCACCATGCACTGCCCAGCCACGACCTACCTTGGCTCACCACGGGAAAGAGACCAGTGGACTGGTGAACGGTCAGCACAGCCAGCGCAGGGTTGAGCTCTGCAGGAGAGAGGGCAGAATGCAGGCCACACTACAAGTGGTTTCCCCTGCAGGTGCCCAAGGCCATGAGGGAGGTGTTCCAGTGTGGGCAGAGAGGGGGTGCACAGCCAGACTCCAGGCAGGCCTCTGACCAGTGGCCCAAACCAGGGCAGCTTTCCAACAGGGACTGCTCTTCAAGTTCGCCCACCCCAGCCTCCCAGACGCTCAAGCAGGATCACAGACTGGCCCACAAATAACGCACGGGCAGGAACACACGTGCTCAGAGACATGCAGAGGCACACGGCCAGGACATGCATGTGGGGACATGCAGTGGGGTCCACCCCACGGCCAGTGCCCAGAGAGCTGCCTGCATCTTCTACTGCCCACCAGGTGTACCCGTTCCCCACCCCTCTTCAGCTCTCAGCAGACTGATACCCACACTCAGGAAGGGGCCTGCTCAGCCAGCTATGCCCCATGAAGCTCATCCATCTGCCATCAGGGTCCCCAGACCCTTGGCTACGTGGGAGGAGGTATGGGTGGGAAACTCTGGGGGGTGAGCCACAGAAGGCCACGGTACCTACCTGTCCAGAACACATCCTACTCAAAGAGGACCTCCCCAAACTCCAAAGAGAGGTTGCCCACAGCAGCCCAGGGCAGGCAGCAGAGCCACCCTCTCTGAGACCCTCAGTGGGAGAGTAGTACAGGCTGGGCTCCGGGGCTCAGAGCCCGGCTCTCCACACACAGCCCAGCTGGCCCGGGTAGACAGCAAAGCAGGAGGCGGGGAGGGCTGTGCCAACATAAACAGGCTGTGGTGTGGCCTCCTCAGCAGCTGCAGCCATGGCCTTGCTGGGCCCAGGGCTGCCCCAGGCAGAGGCACTGCAGACACCTGGCCAGGCAGGGTGACACCCCACACAGTCAAGCAGGGACCAGAAGGTGCACACAGCCCAAGTAGGACCATCTCCCTCCCAGCCTAATCTGAGCTCCTGGAGACTGGACACACCCCTCATACTTCCCCACCCACTTCAGGGAGGGACAGAGATCAGGGATGGGGTGGGAAGTATCTCAGTGGTCATCAAAAGGGCCCCAGTCTCTCCTCCTGGAACACCGGAGCTCAGCACCTTCCCCTGCTCCCTCCCCTTCGCCCAGAGGCGTCTCTCTATTGGAGGTCACATGGGAATGGGGGTAGAGGAGACACAATTAAACCTTTGGGGTGCCCATGTCTGAACAAAGCTAAGCCAACCCAGGCCAGGTGCCCCCATGCCATGCACTCCTACAGAACAGTCTCTAGCATATCCTTCTTGGGCACCTGGGATGGATGACAGTGATGTTCCCAAATGCTCCCAGCCAGGTATGTGTCCAAAGGGTCATTGGGTTAAGCCAACTAGTCACCACCACTACTGCACACCCCCACTTGCCAGGACCCCCATAACTGTGAGGAGGCACTTGGGTAGCAGACACTGGAACCTTCAGCACACAGCTAGCAACCAGAGGGACAGGGTGTGTGCAATGCCAGCAAGGTATCCAAGTAATCAGGCTTGTGACCCGTGCAGCATACTCCCCACCGAGCACACCCACAACACCCATCTGTCCCCGATGGGCTGAGCCAGAAGGCACAGATATGGAGGGTGAGGCTGGGGTCCCCAGGAGAGAGTCACCATTGCCATTCTTGGATGACAGCTTCTGGTCCCATCAGAGCTTTACAGATGGGGAAGCTGAGACTGTGATCCAGGGCCAGAGGCACAGCTCAATTCCAGCCCAGTGCTCTGCTCCCTGGCCTCCACCACCCTCCCACCTGTAGCTGACCTGTTTCCAGGGCAAGGCCCAGGGTTTGGGAGGGGCTCAGCAGCCAGAACTTCAATCACAGTTTTCCCTTGTTCCCTGCTCAGAAGTGACCCCTCCTCTGGCAGGAACCATGCCAAGCAGGATGCCAACCACACATCCTGGTGCCTGGACCCCACACAGAAGCATAACCACCTCCTGCTCCTGGCACCACTGTGCACCCTTCTGGAAGCCTGGGTGCCACCTACTGCTCACCAGGGGAGAGGGATTTTTTGAGCTGGCCAGCTGGCAGGCACTATAACCTGTGCCTCTGTGTGTGCCTGAGCTGGCCCAGGTCCCAGCCTACTTCTGCCCCCAAATGCACACGGAGGGACACATCAGCCAGGTTGGAGGCACGGAGCAGGGCTGACTTCTGAACTCTCCAAGGTCCTCAGGTCTAGCCTGATTCAGAGCTCAGGACAGGCCTGAGACACAGAGCCAGGGAGGAGCAAGTGCCCGGGGACAGGCAAATGGGCTGAAAGGGGGCGGCCTCAGGGTTCTCTGGTCCAGGTCCTCTCCTAGAAAGTCAGAGCTGGAGGGAGGAGGTAGAGGGTCGGAGAGAGGAGGATGCCACTGCCCCAAAAAGCAGCACCCCCCAACCACGGCCCCAAGCATGCATGCACGTGGAATTCAGGGAATGTCAAGTTGGCTCAGGCCTCTCTCCCAAGTCTCTCCCAGAGTAAACAACTTTTCCAGGCAAGAGCAGGGGTGGGACAGGCCATCCCTCCTCCAGGAAGCCTTTGGCCCACACCCATCCCCAGGGTCCCCCTACTGACATCCTGGACCCCATTCCCTGCCTCCCTCACCTCCAGTAAATAGCAGCTTCTGCAGCTGAGCATGGGCCAGACCCCAGGCCGCTGTGACTCAGGGCGGCTGTGCTGCCCTTATGGCCAGGGCAGGATGTTCTGTCCACTCAGCCTGGAAAGAGGGGGCAGGAAAGGGAAGTAAGTAGCCAGAGCTCGTGGCTCTGCACGTGGCCCTGTGGGGGATGGCAAAATCAGCTGCGGAGGTTGTCCAGAGTAAGGGCGTTGGTATAAAATCTAACGGGCAGCGGCTGTGTTCCACTCCCGACCCAGGAGACCCTCCATAGCCCTCCCCTACAACGAAGGCCAGAGTCCAACATTTGCCCCAGAGGGCAGTTGGCAGATGCCTGGGACTCCACAGAGCTTCTCTCCGAACTCCACGGGCAAAAAATCTGCCTCCAAATCCTCACCCCCAGATCCCAAAGCTCACCTCCTCCATCAAACCTCCCTGCCCCCTCTACCCGGTCCCTCCCACCTCTCAGGCAGTCCCATCACAGCAAGAAGGTGCTGAGTCCAGGCTCGCCCCACCCCATCAATGTCCTCGAAGTCCTCAGTGGCCCGCAGGTCCTGCAGCCACAACCCCGGGGTCTGAGTCGTGTGGAGGAGGCTCAGCTCAGAGCGCACCCGCTCCACGACGCCCTCCCTGACCACTTCCCCCGCCCCCTGCTCAGAGGCGCTCGCGGGCATCCAGTGTTCACCAAGCCCGCCGTCCCGCTCCCCTCTCGGGCAGGGAAGGGTGTGCGGCGAGGAACTGCCTGCCGCCGTCCAACCCAGTCGCCGGGCAGCCGGCGGACCTGCGACGGCATGGGTTGGGGACGTGCAAACTCCGCCGCAGGCGCCTCGGGGCGCTGCGGCAGGACCCAAGTGAGGACGCTGCGTGGCGGGGCCGCGCGCCGTCGGGCAACCCCTGTCCGGGCCGGCCACTGGTCGTGACCCACGCGTGGGGCTGGACTCGCACTCCCGGGTGAGCTCGAGCACGCGGGACCCGGCCTGCAGCCGGCGCCGTACCTGAGAGCGCGGTCTCCTGCTCGACGCCGCTCCCGCCGAGCAGCTGTCAGTCATGCGGGCACGAGAAACGCGAACCGCCGCCGCCGCAGCCTTTACGGCCGCACTGGGACGCCGTAGCGCCGGAATGTACCACTGTGGCGTGCGGGGACGCCACGTGCTACTGCTTCGGACGCGCGGGCCCCAGAAGCCGCTAGCGCGCGGGGATAACTTGTCGCAGCTGGGACGGGGACGGTGGCGGAGAGCGCCAGGGCCGTGGGGGCGGGCGAAGGCTCGGGGCGGGGCGGGCCCCCGTGCAGTGGACGCGCCCGGGGCGGGACCTGCAGGACCGCCGCGCCGCCCGCCCGCCAGCCGCCGCCATGATCATCCCCGTGCGCTGCTTCACCTGCGGCAAGATCGTGGGCAACAAGTGGGAGGCCTACCTGGGACTGCTGCAGGCCGAATACACCGAGGGGTGAGGCGCGGGGCGCCCGGGGGGCGGCGACCCGGGGGGGGCGGGGCGGGAGGTAACGACCCCGGGGAGGGGGGGCGGCGACCCGGGGAGAGCGGGGCGGTGTGGCCGGCCACCCGGAGGGGGCCGGGAGGTGACGACCCGGGGAGAGAGGGGGGCGGGAGGCGACGACCCGGGGAGAGAGGGGGGCGGTGTGGCCGGCCACCCGGGGAGAGGGAGGCGGGAGGTGACGACCCCGGGGAGAGCGGGGCGGGGGGCGGCGACCCGGGGACAGCGGGGCGGTGTGGCCGGCGACCCGGAGAGAGGGGGGGCGGGAGGTAACGACCCCGGGGAGGGGGGGCGGCGACCCGAGAAAAGCTGGGCGGTGTGGCCGGCGACCGGGAGAGAGGGGAGAGGGGGGCGAGGTCAGCGATCCGGGGTCACCCGCTTCCCCGGGGAGAGGGGCAGAACAGCTGTCCGTCTCCTCTCTGGAGAGTGTTGCCCTCTGCAGGGTGTCTTGGGGACTTTTAGGTATCTCCCTGGAGGTCACAAGCACTTTTCATCTGCAGCAAAGATCTCCCTACTTCCTTTCTCTGTTAAGCCCACTTCTTGTCCTGTAAACCTTGCTGATCCATTAAGATGCAAAACAGATTTTTTTTTTTCTGAATACTGCCATCCCTGACTTTTGAGGCAGAGTCTGACCACCTGCCACCTTGTGGTCTCCTGTAAAGCCCTGGGGCTCACTGTGCCTGCATGTCATACAAGAGTCAGTGTGCAGGCCGGAAAGCTTGCTAGAGTGACCAGCATGGAAGTATCTGGGAGGCCTACCCCTTCCCAAGCGGCCATCTCTGTGCATTGAAGCCAGTGGTGTGGGAAGTTTTCCAAAGCCTGAGAATGACTAAGTCCTAGGGAAACTGAGACTTGTCATTGGGCTGTGAAATGGGAGAGGGAGGATCCTGAGGAGGTAGATTCTCTCTTACTTGGGGAGCAGGGCTGGGGAGAGATTCCACAGTTTATTTCTTGTCTGCTGAGGCCTGCCAGGATGACCAGAGCTCTACAGGGCCACTGATCTCTGTGTTGCACAGAACCTGCCCTGTAGGGCCTGAGCTAGATGAGAGGAGTTGGCACCTTGGTTAGGGCCTTGGTCCACAAAGCTCCCCTCCAGCTGTTCAGAAGCCCCAGGAGCTGCCTCAGTCCTGGGTACCAGCTTTAGAAACAGGCAGAAGGCAGGTAAAGGTGGGGTGGGTGTGACCTCTGAGTGAGGAGGTGGGAGAAGAGGCCCACTGGGATCCTGCTGCAGGGTCTCAGCTCCAGCCCAGGTGGAGCTGTCCACCTTGTTTAGCAGGAGGGTAAAATGAGCAGGCACCAGTGCCCAGAGAGGTTGGCTGTGGCTCCAGACCTGTGGGGACCACAGTCTCACCGCTCCTCCCCTTGGCACAGGGACGCCCTGGATGCCCTGGGCCTGAAGCGCTACTGTTGCCGCCGAATGCTGCTGGCACACGTGGACCTGATTGAGAAGTTGCTCAACTACGCACCACTGGAGAAGTAGCCACTGGAGCTGCTTTCCTGCTCTACTGATATGGACAGTGTCACACCAAGTTCATCAAGCTGAGGTGTCTGTGGGTGGCAACAATGCGTGGCCTCAGCCACATGCCCCCCATGCTGGAAGGAAAGTTCAGTAAAGGTCTTGAGAATTACCCAGGTGTCCTGCTGATTGGCCTGGCTTGGGGAGGTCCCTTTGTCATGTCTCCTGCCTGTGTGAAGACTCGGCCCACCCTCTTACACTGCAGCAGAGCCTACAGTAGGCAGAGCCCTTGGCTGGCTGGGCCCTGGCCCCTGTGACCACTAGGCAAGTCAGATCCACAGGCCTTCCAATAGTCACCCACCTGGTGCCTCTCCTTCCTGTTCCAGGTGGGTGGGGGTGGATTCTGTCCTTGATGCCCAGGAAGAGGGAGAGCTTCCCACAGCCTGACACCCAAGGGAGCTCAGGGGACCTGGTGTTCCACCCTGGCATTCCAGGCACAGAGACCCTATCACCTTCTCCCAGAATCTAAAGAACCAGGCTTTCTGGCCTGTGGGAGGGGGTGTTTTATTGTCAACCAACCTAGACAGTGTCTGCTACAGTCATGGCTGCCTGGCCCTGTGCTGCCCGCACCTGAGGTTCTGCTCCAGGATTTCTCAGGCTCCACCAAAAGCCAGGGGAGGGACAGCACCCAACGTCCACAGCTGGGCTGGGGGGCTCTGAGGAGGTTCCCAGCACCCAGGTGTTGGCACTTGGTGCTCCAGGGTCTTCTGGTCATCAGTCCAGGCTGTAGCTGAGAGGTAGATGCCTCAGCCAGTCTGGGCTAAGGGTGTGTGACTGCAGAGGTATGGGAAGCAGCTCTTTGTCTCCTTCTGGGCCAGTCATTAGCTGCCCAGACATCTGACATGAGGTCCTCTGGGGACCTTAGGGACAGGAGTTAGGGTGGCCAATAGTGGAGGAGCATCCCCCTACATTCTGCCAGACCTGGGCCTCTCCTGCCCTCTGATCCCAGTAGGCCTGACTTGATCCTTAGCCTCTACCTCCAAGCTACCCCAAGTGGCCAGAAGGCAAGACTCAGGCCACACAGGTCTGCTTCCGTTTCCTCCTGAAGGGGTTCCCACCATTGGGCATTCCCTTCCAGTGTGTTCCAGGAAGACACTGGCCACCCTGGACCCTGGGTATGAGGCTCTTGGCTCCTGCCCTCTGGACACAGCAGGTAGGTATCTCCACTCTGCTGGACATAAGAGCACTGAGGACAGGATTATCCTGTCACTAACAGTAAGCTGACCCAGCTGTTCAACAAACATTTATTGAGCACCTATTATGTGGCAGGAATCGTTACAGGCATTTGGGATACAGCAGTGGATAAAACCAGTAATACCCTACTCTCGTAGGGACGTTCTAACTGGGATGCAGCACACTTTGTGAGCGCGATGTTAAAGAGCAGTGGCAAGAGTTAAGCCAGGCTTTGGCTGATTGGGCCTTACAGCTCTCAGGGCAGCACAAAGGGCTCCTGGTCCCGCCCTGCAGCCCCTGTACCTCTTGGCACCTTCAGCAGGGCCCCTACCACCTGCCTCTGACCACCCATTGTGTAGAGGGTGGGCCTGGGTTCCTCCCAGACTTACCCAGGCATCAAAGAGGGGGTCCTCTTACCAGAACCTAGGTCTCATCCTACCTGCCAGGCCTGGGCCCCAAGCCCCACACAGGTAGACTAACCACATCTTCCCTATGCGGGGGAGGGACCCTGCCCCACGCCTCAGGAAAAAGGCACTTGAAGCCACCCCCAGGGTGGGGTCAGCAGAGGTGATGGTGGTGGCATGCAGGGCACAGACATGAAGATGGGCTCTGTCCTGGCCTTCAGTAGTCAGTTCAGTACTTAGGTGGGATGCAGCAGGAGGCAAGTGGCCAGGCCAAACCCTGGTGGTCAGTAGTGCTCCAACTTGAGGCTCCTGTATAGGCAGCACGTGAAGACCATGCCAAAGACCTGCAGGTGGTCAGGCAGGCATGAGACAGCACCTCAGGCTAGCAGCCCTCCCCCAGCTCCCCATAGTCGCCCTTATGCCCAAACCTGCACACAAGCGATGCCGATGCCCACGGCCCCGATGACCCTCAGGTGCTCTTGGATGAAGGTTTCCAGCTTGGTGATGCAGCCACCCTGTCAGAATGGGGGTGCTCAAGGTGAGCCCTGCTAGCTCCCCCTAGGTGTAGCCCAACAACCCCACCACCCTGCACCAGGCCAGCCCCTTGCTCACAGTGACCCACCTCCACCTTGTAGATGTTGGAGGCGTGATCCCGCTGCCCACAGCCAGGTACCACCGTCTTGCAGCAGCTGTCGGGGACCACACGGCCACCAGCCTCACCCGAGCGGATCCACTCGCTGTCACGCCAGTCCTGGGAGTTGTTGCTGCCGCAGCAGTGAAACTACAACAAGGAAAGCTGAGCCTGGGGGCCTGCCAGGGACAGCCCCAGGGGCACAGGCACATCCCCTGCAGGCAACACCCACCTCCTGCTGCAGCTTATCCACAGCACTGGTCACACCCTCCTGGCCTGGCTGGTGGTACTGCTTGGTCATGGTGTCCTTCAGGTTCTCCTTGAGTTCTGTGTTCAGCTGAGGGAGGGGGTGTCAGTTAAGACCTCAAAGATACAGAGCTGAGAGAGCCCAGGACAGGGCAAAGGCCCCAGGGTGCAGGGGAAGCACTAGGGTCTCACAGCAGCTGGTTGGAGGAACTGGGTCACCAGGGGATCATGGGTAGAAGGGAATCTCCGGATACCTGGACACCTTGGGCACTGCAGGCAGGTCACCTGCCCCTGTGGCCACCCTTCCCTAAAAACCTAAACCCTGCCTCCAGGACCTAATGGCAAGTTGGTCAGTGCTGGAGTAGCAGAGGTAGAGATGACACATGTCTCCCAAGGCCTATCCAAGCCCCTCTCACCTGCTGGTAGTAGACGTAGGCCAGGACACCAGCAATGATCTCCAGCAGAAAGATGAGGAGGAGCAGGATGAAGTACTGGGGGGCAGGGACCCAGTGAGGGGCTCAGCACCAGGCACCACAGAGCAGAGCACCTACCAGCTCCAAGCAGTAGGTATGGGCCAGGCACCAGGCTCCCCAGCATTCCTGGTGGAGCTGGTGTCTCAGTCTAGCTGGGGGTGGGGGCTGTGGCCCCCTGCCAGCACAGCAGGGCCAGCCCACAGTGACACTAAACCATCAGGGCCCCAGAGACGGTCCCAGGAGACTATAGAGAGGAGCCCCTGGCCAGGACCCTGTGCCCACCACCCCACCAGAATGCAGCCATGCCCCGCTGACCAGGCGCAGCAAGTTCCGCCGCTCCTTGAAGGTGGCACAGCAGCCCAGGACACCGGTCACCATGACGACAACACCAGCCACCACCAGGATGTAGGCAGTAGCTAGGTAGGTGCTTGAGGCCAGTAGGCTGATGTAGTCACTCTTGAGGGCCAGCGTCCAGATGCCCACTGCCATGACAGCCAGTCCAGCCAGCTGTAGGCATGTGCACCAGTCACCACACCTAGCCCAAGTCTGAGAGCCCCAGTTGAGCCCCTAGTCCAGGGCTCAGGTGCCTTCAAGGCCCAGGGAGTGCTGGGTGGGCAGCACGGCACCCAACTCACCCAGAAGCAGCAGTTGTAGGTGAACAGCAGGTACTTGAGGCAGACAGTGCCACATGTCGCCTTCTTCTCGTTGAATTCACCCATCTTGGGGCTGGGGAGGCGTGAAGGGGTCAGAGGGCCTGAAGCATCAGGCCCTGACTAGGAGGGTGGCCACACGCCAGTGGGGATGAGGGAGAAGGCACTGAGATGCACAGGCCCAGCTGAGGCGGATCCAGCCACCTGTCCTGGGAGGCCTGGGGAGGAGCCTCCCTGGCAACCAGGGCATGAATCACTTCCCGGATCACAGCTCAGGAGACTTGACCCCCAAGCAGCCAGGCAGACCCCATGGGCGGCAGAGAAACCCAACCCATCACTCACTGACTCACCCCTGCTGGCAGCCAGGGGAGGAGGCCCCAGCTGACCCCTCCCCCAGCATTCCCGGGCTCCACGTCACTGGCAGGAACCTAACACTTAGAGATAAGTCCCCAGAGGCAGTAAAGGATCCAGGAGCTCAGCCCTGACAGAGGTGCTCTGCACAGCCTCTGCTCCCACCAGGATAGGGAGAAGGAACAGAGAAGTGGCCGTGTTCCTGCCTAGAGGCCCCAGGCACACCTGCCCTGCTCACACCAGTATCTGCACAGGGAGAGCCTGGGGTTTAGACAGCAGCTGGGCACCACTGCCAAATTTCCAGACACTACCTGCAGTCTCTGCCCCGCCCAGCACTCACCAGGCTGTCTGGGAATGACTCCTCTATAGGACAGGTGTACAGAAGTTCCCCAGGACGCTGAGCTAGAGAGGAGCAGAGAACAAGTCACAGGTCACAGGTCTGCCCTCACTGCAGGATCCTGCCCAAACTCTTCCTGGTGGCTCAGACAGTGGGTCAGATCTACTCAAGAGGCAGAGGGAGGAGCCATCAGGCCCAGTATTTTGGTCTGGGAAGGGGCGGGGTGGGATGTGAGGGCAGAGGACATTTCTGGGCAGTCTGGTCCCGAGAGGAACTTCAGGTCTCCAGGTGCCCCACCCTGGGCCTTAGCTCCACACCGGTCACTGCCCCTCCTCCATCAGGCAGCAGCAGCTGCGGACGGAGAGAGCCACTGATCTCCACCCCGGGGTTCGGCGGGGGTGTCAACAGACTTCCACCTCTGAGCTGTGGGACGGTGACACAAAGCACCACTGAGCTGGGGCCCGAACACATGCTCTGTCCCTGGAGAGTGGTATAAACAACCCCAGCAGCCGTGCAAGCCCTGGGCCAGGCTCTGGGGACCCCGGCTTCCTGGGGCGGCTGATTCTGGGCAGACGCCGCCCGCACCGGCAGAGGGCAGCGGCCCCTCTTCCCAGGATGCCTGTTGGACCTCCTGAGAAAGGGCCGGGCCAGCCGGAAACAGTCCCTGCGGCCTGCCAGGGCTGCTCCACAGCCGGCCTTGGACTTCCACCGGCCCTCGCCGTCCCGCCACACTCGGGGAGCCGACAAGGGAGGAATCCTCGCGTCACGGCGAAGAGGTCGCTGCCGTCAACGCCCCCAGCCCAGGCGCGACCACTGGCCCCGCCCACTTGCGCGGGGCGGTGGGCGAGCCGAGCGCAGGAGACCGCGGTCCAGGGACCATGAGTAGGGCGTTCGGGCTGCACGTTTTGTGTCCTGGCACACAGGGACTGCCGGGCCTGTCCTAGAACCCCGGAGGCCCTCCCTCGCCCAGCGCCCGGCCCGCCCGGCGCTCGCCAGCGACCTCCCTGCGGCAGGGGCCTGTGAACCGGCTGCGTAGGTGTCCGGCGGCCTCCGGCACAGAAGCACGAAGGACCTGGGGCGCCCTGGGCCCCGCTCGGACGGGCCGGCTCCGCCGCACACTCACCGACCACGCGACGGAGTCCGGGCCCGGGCGGTGGCTGCGGGGGCGGCGGCTCCCGGTGCGGAGAATGCGCCGCCGCCGACCGGCCAGGCCCCGCCCCGCCTGCGGCCACGCCCCCAGCCGGCCGACGCCGGGCAGGTCCGGACGCATTTCGGCGGGCGGGAGGCGGCGGTGCTGACCGGGCATCGGGGCGGGCCCGGTGAGCTGCGGCTCCGGGACACTCAGAGCCTTGACAAGCCCGACCCCGAGAGAGGAGCTGGGCGAGAGGCGGGAGGTGGGGGCGGCCCGCCAGACTCCCCCCTGGAGGAGGACCGAGTCCCCAGGCCCTGGAGTCCCCAGGCCCAGCCCCCATTTCTCTCTCAGGAACCACTCGGTTTTACAGATGCTGGCCCAGCCTGGAGGTTCTAGCGGAGTGGGCCCATGACCTGGCAGACCAGCTGGGCTGGTGGGAAGCCACTCAGCTCCCTGGTGAAAAGGGAGTTGCTCAGGGCTGGGGATGTGGCTCAAGCGGTAGTGCGCTGGCCTGGCATGCGTGCAGCCCGGGTTCCATCCTCAGCACCACATACAAACAAAGATGTTGTGTCCACCGAAAACTAAGAAATATTAAAAATCTCTCTCTCTCTCTCTCTCTCTTTTGAAAAGAAAAGAAACGAAAAGGGGCTTGAAGCCCCTTGAAGCCAAGGACACATTCAAGCACTCGGGGACCCACAGCCCCAAAAGAGCAGGGTCGTGTGTCTCGGGTGTACCTCTCACATGTCATGGTGTGCCAAGGACGCCTCATTGTGAAGCACACATATGCTGCATCTCCCAGACACAGAAAACCAAGAAGAACACACGCAGTGGACGTTATAGCAGTTTTTGTTTGTTTTGTTTGTTTTTTCCTTGATGGATAGACAAGGGAACAGGATAAGTATTGGCAAGGGCACACCTGGCAGGGGCACATGAGTCCCTTGAGACCTTTACCACCCACAGGTTAGTTCCTGCATGTCTTTGTGGGCTAGAGCCCACACCCTGAATGGTAGCCCTCCTCCCAGGACAAGTAGCCTTCGAGGGGCAGCTCCTCCAGGTAATGCCCAGGGGAGTCACTTGGAGCTGGTTACCGGGCACTGGGAAGGTGGCCAGACCCACGTCTGGGGGGCCTAGCCCAGCTGCAGCAGCAGCAGCAGGTGGGCCCAGGCCAGCGGGCTGTGGCCAGAGCCTTCTTGTGGCTGCTTCTGAGCAGCCTGGCCTCACAGGTGTCTCTCTCATCTCGTAGGTCTCGAAGCCGTGTATTCAGCTCCCTAGAGAAGGGGAAGTGGGAGAGCTGAGAACCCGAAGCATCTAAGGTCTTAAGGAGGGAGCAACCCAAGGTGGGAAGGTGGGTTCTGGCTCCCCTCAAACCAGAAGAGAGGTGCCTGGTGGGACGTAGGGATGCTGGAGGGAGGGAGAGAGACGTGAGGAGGGACTCCTCCCAGTGGGATGAGGTGGAGGCCAAGAATGTTTGGGAGCTTGGATACCCCTCCGAAGCTCTATTGAGCCCTTCTCCTACCACTGGCCTAGGCCCAACTGCACCTGAGCAGCTCTAGTTGCCGTAGGAGGCTGAGTTTCTCTTTCTGCATGTTCCTGGAGACGGCAACCACGTCCCTGTGGGTAGGAAATGGTGAGCCCTGCAGGCAGGGCCCTCCCAGAAGTCCCTCCCTCCACCCCTACTCCCCAGACCCTGGGGGCAGCACGAGATCTTGGCATGGGGATATAAGTGGCCCCACCTGAGCCTAGCCAGCCAAGGCCCCAACCCACCAGCCCTGTACCGTTGTGTTTGCTCCTGGCGGCCCCGAGCATCACCCTGCAGTCTGTGCAGCTGCTCCTGCACCCCCTCCAGCTGTGCATGCAGTGCCTCACAAGCCTGCCGCAGCTGGGTGTTCTGGGCCTGCGCCTCCAGCTGCTCTGCAGCCCGGGCCTGTAGCTGCCGTTCCAGCTGGGGAAATGGTGTGGGCTGCTGAGGGCCTCCAGATGCCTCACTTGCCCTCACCCCCAACATCTCTAGGGTTGGCAGCGCTGAGACACAAGAGCACCCTTGAGGAAACTGGGGCTGCAGGGGAGACTGTGGGATGGGGCTGACTGGGGTCCAGCTGCTCACCTCCAGCTGCCGCAAGCCAGCCCTCTCCAGCTGCTGCTCGCGGCTCTGCAGCTGCAGCTCCAGATGCCCCCTTCGCTCCTCCAGGGGAAGGTTCTGGAACACACCGGGGCATCTCAGCCTTCGCTGGCCTCGCAGAGGAGGCAGCGGAGGGGTGGGGTGGGGCCAGGGTGAGCCAGGGAAGGCTGAAGGCTGGTGGGGCCGCTGGGAGAGGAGGAACAGGGCACCCGGCCGCTGGGGCTGCCTGCACCCGCAGCTGGGGAACCCTCGGGGAGGGACCGGTTTGAGGGAGGCGGAGCCAGGGAGGCTAGCAGGCGGAGAGGACGCCACACCTGGCTCTGCCTCCGGCGCTGCGGCTGCTCCCGGAGTTGCTGCTCCAACTCCTCGTAGAGGCCACGCACCTCCCTCTCATGCTCGCTTTCCCGCCTTTGGAGCCGAGGATGAGACAGCCTTGAGAACGTGCCGGACCGGCCTCCACCCCTGTACTGGGCCCCAGAACCGCGTCGGCCCCACTCTCACCGCCGCAGTGCCTGCTCCAGGCCCTCGCGCTCCCTGGCTGCCTCTGCCAGGCAGGCTGACGCTCGCATCAGAACTTCCTCGAAAGAACCCAGCAGCTCTGGTCTCTCGCGCTGCAGCTGGGCCCACAGGGCCCTCACAGCCGGCTGCCTGAATCAGGCAAGTGCAGACTGAGACCCAGGCTGGCGCGCGAGGGCAGGGGTGGCTCCCCTCTGCCTACCAGGAGATCCCTGCAGACCCCCGCAACCCAGGAGTTTGACCCATGCAACGCATGCCGTTCAGGTGTGAGTGCTCTCATCCTGCCCGGGTTCTGTGGCTGGGTACCATGAAGTGGCACTGTATGTGGACAGCCCAGCATGCCACATGCCCAGTGCCTCCCCTCCCCGAAGCTGAGACTGCTTTGTCCTGGAATGCAAATTCTGCGGGAAATCACGCCTGGCGGGCTGACAGATGGCTGGGCCTGATCAGGCCCAGGGACTCTGCGTGGGAACAGAAAGGTGGTCACCGTGGACAGAGCATGCAGAGGGAGAGAGTGGAAGCAGGAACCGGGAGCAAAGCTAGCATCCACTCACTTGCCCAAGACCCGGGCCACTCCCAGCCGCTCCAGTGCAGTGCAGAATTCCTGCTCCTCCTCCTCCTCCAGAGAACCCCTGGTGCCCTGCACCTCTGACCAGCCCGATTCAAAGGTTTCCTCAGTAGTCCAGGAGGGTTGCATGCCCTGAGCCAACTCCACCCCCACAAACTTCCCTGCAGACATGGGAGGGAGAGATGACGGGACTGTGGGTTACCACCCTGGCCCTCCCCTGCTCACCCCCACCCCCAGCCATATCCTGCCCTCTCTCAGGGCCCAGTTTCCTGTTTTTCTTCCTTATTCTAGTCCTGTTGGCCTGGGAATGGGAGGTGACAGCCAGGCTCCCAGCCCCACCTGGGTTTGGCAGGAGACAGAAAGGGGTTGTGAGCAGAAAGATCAGTGTCATATACTACTATCTGGGGGGTGGAGGTCCCAGGCACTTGAGTGTAGATACAGGGAGTGCCCTGGATCTACAGGGAGTGAGGATACAGCCCAGAGTCCCACATGAGCCGGACCAGGACCTCTGGTGCTGGGGGAGGGTAGGCCCAGCTCACCCAAGCCCAAGCTAAACTCCCGGGCAGTGAGGAAGCCAGTGTGGGCCTGGTCCAGACTTTCAAACACAGCCTCCAGCTGCTCAGGTGTGAGGAGTAGGTCACTCTGCAGGCCCTGGCAGAGAAAGGGCAGGGTGGGTGACCAAGGTCAGCCCTGGGCCCAGAGGCTCCTTGTGACTGGTGCTCACCTGCAGGTCCTGCCGGGTGATGAAGCCTTTGGCTTCCTTGTCACATAACAAGAAGAGCTCCTGGGCCTGCTGCAGCGTGGCAGCCTGCTGTCCAGTGGAGGCCCCCTCCTCCTCCTCCTCCTCCTCCTCCTGGGATTCCCCAGCCCCTGGCCCGCCAGTAGCCATGAAAACAGGAACCTTGCCGCTGTTGGGTGCTGAGAAACCAAGAGAGAGAAGACATGGGGGGACATGGAGTGGGCCACACGTGCCCTGAGGGCTCTGCCAGAGAGGGAGCCTAGGGCACCAAGGGAGGGCTGGTGTTTGTAAGGGATGCTGCAAGCCTGGGGTGCCCCTGGGTGGAGTGATGCAGACCTGGGGACGAAGCAGGCTGCACAGAACCAGGTATTCCTTGGAACACAAGGAAAGGTATGCCCAGAGGGAACTAGTGCGAGAGGAAAGAGGGTCGGTTCCAGGGGCTAGCTGTAGGAGACCTTATGAGGAGGCCAATGAACTCCTGACAGCCAGAGGAGAAAGAGGTCCAGTGAAGGAGGAGCCCACTTCGTGCTGGAGTTGGAGGACTGGGCCAATCCTAGCTAAATCCTTGGCCCCAGACCTGGCCTGTGATGCCCTGGCCTCCTGACAGCTGGCAGGCCAGGTAACTCCTCCCTCCCTGCCCACTGGTCCCTCCCATGGGTGACCAGTCCCCATGGGGCACAATGGTAAGCTCCCAGCCTTGGGCACCTGTGCCTCCACAGCCGGAGTCAGCAACACCGATTCTGGCTAATCACCCCTCCTACAGCACTAGTACCCTTCCTTCCCCTGCCCTCCAAGTCTGGGAACCTCTTGGGGCCTCCCTTCCACCTCCCAGAGAGCTCCACCCTTAACCAGAGCCACCTGTCGTTTTCACAGCCTCCAACCCGGATTTCTCAAAGCTACAGCCTGGCCAGAGGCACCTGTCCCGACCTGGGACTCTAGCTGGGGTTAGTGTCTCCTCAGCCCAAGCCTGTCACCTTCGCCCCACCCCGGGCCAGTGTCCCTGAGAAGAGGGGCGATCTCCAAAGACGGCAGGTCGGAGGAAGCGCCAGGCGAGGGGAGGGGACAGGCAGGATCCGGGTCATGTCCCCCAGGCAGCGCCAACGCCTCACCCGGCTCTTGGGCTGCACCGACCCAAGGTCCATCCCAGCCGGAAGCGGCCCTGTGGCCGGGCCAGGCCGGGCCAGAGGGAGGCAGGAGGTAGGGCCAGCGGGTGGGGCCGGAGAGCCGCCCGCATAGCCCGCACCCCTGGGGGCCGGCCGATTCGGCCCTGTCCCTGCGCCGCGCGCCGGGAGGGCCACGGACGTCCCCCGACTGGGAGCGCTGGTCGGCGCCCGCCACGGCGGTCGTGAATTGAGACCCAGGACCGAGCCGCGAGGGCGCGGCGGTGGGAGCCGGGTCGCGGGACCCGGGAGCGCCTACCTGGGAGCTGCGCCGCCGCACCTGCCGCGCGCGGGCCGCTCCTCCCGGAAACGCGCGGCGCGCCCCGCCCCTGCTGGGACCCCGACCGCGCCGGGGGCGCTGGCCTCTCAGCCTCGCACGACCGGAGACCCCAGGTGGGCCGGCCCGGGCGGAGCTGTCGCCGGCTGCTGTCGCTGTGTTCCCGCCTCTCCTGCTGCCCTGGCGGCCAGAGATCCCTGGCAGCCTGAGCGGCTGTCCAGGCAGAACCCCGGGGCACAGCTGGGGACCCTTCAGGAGCAGGGTCCAGGCTGCCGGAGTGCAGACACCAACCTTTCAACCCCGAGGATCCAGACTTAAGACGCCAAAAAGCGTGTAGGAAAAAGCCGGCAGGAAGTGGACCAAATTCTTTCAGAGGCTATCTCTAATGCAGTCCCAATTTAGGTTTTTCGAATTTTAAAACAATTAACATGTAATACTAGAAAATGACATTTAACAGAGCACTAAGCACCCTGTGAGGAGAGTGAATGTGGAGCAGAGAGGGCACATCAGCGGCCCCCCACCCCCAGCACTCCTTTGGGGCACAGCCCTGACCAGGGTTCCCCTGGGGAAGAGCTGAACACAGCGCTCCTGCCTGGAAGAAATCCTATGCACTTCCTAAGGGTCCTCCTAGCCCCAGCCTGGACTCTGCACCCACCTGGAGGGCTGGCCTGATTGTCACACAATGCTGGGGGCCCTGTGGCCTCTGCTTCTCAAGTGGAACAACAGGCTGGGCCTCTAGGACACTACCTGGAGACCAAGAGGGGGTGGCCCCTGGCACACAGACCAGGGACCTGCCTGGCCGGCTCACCCAGTCCTGCTGCCCCAGGTCCCACCACCGTTATTGTTGGCTGGGGGCTGCCACCACAACTGACCCACGCCTACTGGGAGGGGCAGGTAGGCACTGAGCCTGGTAGAACTAGGCTCACAGTCAGCTAAGTCAGGTCTCCACTCCAACACCCTCTCTTCAGGGGCTTCTGTGCCCTAAACTGCTCCCTCTGGATAAGGATCACTTCAGGAAACTGCCTTCAAGAACAAAGCCACCTTCAGCTAGGACCTTACCGTGCCTCAGTATTCCAGGTCCCTCCTAGATACGGCAGGAGACAGAGGGACGGAGACAAGAAGGACCGAGCATCTGGCCAGCAAAGCTCGTGATGCCTGGGGGCCAGATGCCCAAGGTGGAGCAGGGGCCAACATTCCCAGGTCCCCAGCCCTCAGCTCCAGGAGCTTTACCTCCTGCAACAGCCCTGTTGTCACTCTGGAGCTGAAGGGCAGGTGACTCCTTTTGTAAACACCCCCCCCCCCCCCCCCCGCCAGTGCATGGATGGAATCCAGGCTGTGGTGCATGCCAGGCCAGTGCTCTGCTATTAAGCTGTCCAACTCTATAACATTTTAATTCAGCAAGGATCTTGGACCCAAATATGTCCTTTGGCCCTTGGAAAGCCATGCCAGGAGGTCTCAGGGCAAAGTGGGGGGCATATATACGGGTCCTCAACAAAGCGTAAGAGAAGGCCCCAGCCCAGCTGGCAGGCCCCAAATGTCAGGTCCAACAGCGTGAGCCTGGAAGGCCAGACACCCTGTGTAGAGACACTGGTCAACTAGGTGGAAGCAGGCTCTGTCCACCATGGCCCCAAGCTAAAGTGGGTAAGGGAGGGGCTGGGGATGTGGCTCAAGCGATAACTGCACTCTCCTGGCATGCGCGGGGTGCTGGGTTCGATCCTCAGCACCACATAAAAATAAAATAAAGATGTTGTGTCCACCGAAAACTGAAAAATAAATTAAAAAATAAAAGTGGGCAAGGGAGTTACACAGAATGAAGAAAGAAGATTACATAGAAGTGAAGAGGGTAGATGCTGAGCTCTGGCATTTATTACTTCTGCTTTGGCAAAAATAAATAATTCTTCACACATATTCATGAGGGAAACAGGGGAAATGGGTGGGAGGAGCTGATGTGGGGTTCTCAGGGAAGTCCTGCACTGAGAAGGGGCAGGCAAGGGTAGGGGATTAAGGCACAGGTGGAGGGGCCTCTGCAGCCCAAGAGAAGGGGCACTCCACACCCCTCCAAACTCAGTGCAGTGAGTTGTTGATGGAGGGGGATTCACAGCAAAGCCCCCTCTTTGTGGCCGTGAGGGGTTCTGTCTCCTTGCTCCATAGTAGACAACTAAGAGGCAAGGGATGGGGTCTCAGCCAGTCCCGGAAACCTGAGCCCCATGGGCTGGGGAAGGCTGAGCACTCAGCAAGGAGGCAGGCCCGGTGGGTGCTGTGGGGGCATGGGGTCTGTGGGGGTGGGGCCGGCAGGGGTGCGCATGCGCAAGGCATCCGGCGGGAAGGCCACATTGGTGCAGAAGAGACCCAGCAGCAGCTGACGCTGGCACTCCTCCCACTTGGCCAGGGCATCCCCAAGTGAGAGGTTGTTGCGCACCCAGCTGGGCAGTGCCTCGCTGTAGGTGGCACAGGACAGTGGCACAGAGGGTAGTGACTGGGCACGGCGCAGCTCCATCTGCTCCGAGAGCCTGTAATGAAGGCATCAAAGGTAGACAGGGTTAGTGGGGGTCCCTCAACCCAAAGGCTCTGGGCCTGAGGACAGGGGTGGCTCACCTGGAGGGCAGGTGGCTGCCTAGCTTCCGCTTGGCACGCATCACCAGGTATTGGCAGATGCTGCCCGTCTGCTCCTTCATCCATCGGATGTCCTCTGGAACATCAGGCAGCCACTCCAGCAGGCTGGAGGGTCGGGGAAGGCACACCTTCAGCATCTGTGTCCAGGCCCTCCCAGCTTCCCCAGCCTAAGCATCCCTCCTGGGCGACCCCAGTTCCCCTCTCCCAGCCCTGGTTCCCTGCCCGCACCGAATGGTGAAGGACACAGCACTCTCCAGTGGCAGCGTGTAGGGCACCATCATAGCTGTGGCCAGACGCACTGGCAGCATGTTGGACAGAGTGGTCATCAGGTCCCTGGGCTCCACGCAGGCTTCCAGCAGGGCTGTGCAGGGGATGGGGGCAGCCAGTCAGGGAAGCAGAGCAGCCCAGGGTGCTGTGCCAGGCTTCCACACTGCTGGCCCCTCCTCCTCCCTTCTCTCCCAGTGAGTACCCTCATTGAGCCGGGCAGGCAGGTGGTCTAGGATGTGATCTTCCCTGGGCGGCTGCAAGTGGTCCTCTGCTCCAGTCTTCTCTGTGACCGCAGTAGCCTCCTCTGTGTCTTCCTCCTTTGGGTCACAGGGGCGGGTGGGAGGCAGTGCCAGCAAGGGGTTGGGCCTGTTCAGGAGGCCTGGGATGGAGGCGGGGGTGCGACAGAAAAGGGATCAGCACAGTCATGGTCACTGCTGGCCTGCAGTGGGCAGCAGAGCCGGCTCCACCCATCCTACAGCTACCCACGCACCATTCCTCCGCAGGAAGCGCAGACCATCCCTGTAGCCCTGTTTGCACATCTCTCGAAGTACCTGCAGCAGGGGTATAGGTGAACTGGAGCAGATGGAGCCAAGGGTGCCCTGTGCTGTCCTCCACAGAGTCTCTAGGTCCCTACAACAGCACCTCCATTCCAACCTCCCGCCACCACCAACTATCTCAGATCCAGCCCAGGGTCCAGGCTGGACAGGCTGCACAGGCCATAGCCCTACAGAGCAGCTCACCATCGGTTCTGGAGGGAAGAGGGCCTTGGAGAGGCGGTAGAGGTTGCGCAGGTTGAACTGGATGCTGGTGTTGGTGACCCGGAGCTCATGGATGTTGGTGGAGCTGTCCTGTGGGCAGATGTCACTCTCTCCTGAGAAGGGGGACACTGTGATGGTGTTCTTCAGCTCATAGAGTGGCAGGTTGTCTGAAATGCCGCCATCCACATAACGCTTCACAGGGACACAGACGCATGGTCACAAAGTGAGGGACTTTCCAGGTGTGCTGGCTGCCCCACCCAGTGGCAATTTCTTTTGGCCTTTCACACTGGGCACTGTCCATGGGCTGGCTTGGGCACTGAGTAGATGGCCAGACAGTGAGGGGGCAGCCACAGGAAGCATGTGTCCCCAGGGCTGGTCAGCTTCTTAAGTAACAAGGGAAATGAGGCAATAGGTAGAGGCAGAGAGATGATGGAGCAGATGGGGCTCTACAGTCCTCCCTCCTCCACCCCTTCATCCCAAAGCCCAGACAGCACGAGGCTCTCCTCAGCCCCCAAGGGCGCCCATGACAGGGCCAGGTGGGCATACTCACCACCCCTTGGAGGGAGGGTGGAATGAGGCCACAGTACACGGGGATGAACGTGCTGCAGACATTGGCCTGCAGGGCAGAACAGGAGGGGGTGAGCAGTGGCCTTGGGCCACACTGTTCCCCACGTGGCCCCAGCAGGACCCACCTGGATGAGCTCCTCCTTGGAGTCGAAGTGGGTTATAATGACGTTCTCTCCATCTGAGACACGGGTCAGAGAGATGCCCAGGCGCCCACTGGCACGCTCATGGCTATCAGCGGGCAGAGTCTTCAGCAGACAGCCACGGATGGTCTTCACCAAGTTGAAGGAGGGGTGCAGGGGACCCAGGAACCTCTTCCGGGCCTCCTTGGACACCTCAATGATGTTGGCACCTGCCTCGCCTGGGGCAGCAGGGCCAAGGTCAGAGCCAGCAACACCCCTATGGCTCCATGCTCAGGGTTCCCCAGCACACACATTCAAAACATCACCATTGACCCTAGAGGACCCCCAGTGCCCATGACATGGCCTGGCTCACAGCTGAGATTTTTTTTGTGTGTGTAGCTGTAGATGGACAGCATGCCTTTATTTTATTTGCTTATTTTTTGTATGCAATGCTAAGACTCGAACCCAGTGCTTCACATGTGCTAGGCAGGAGCTCTGCTACTGAGCCCCAGCCCCAAACACAGTTGAGACCTTTTTTAATTTTTATTTTTTAGTTTTAGGTGGACACAATATCTTCATTTTTTTTTTTTTAATGTGGTGCTGAGGATCAAACCCAGTGCCCCATGCATGCTAGGTGCACCCTCCACCACTGAGCCACAGCCCCGGCCTCACAGTTAAGACTTTTAAAAATATATATTTATTTTTCCCAATACTGGGAATTAGACAAGCTGTGCACATGTTAAACAGGTGCTCCACCACTGAGCTACATCCCTAGCCCTTTTAGCTTTTTATTTTGGTATAGGGTCTCACTGAATTGCCAAGGCTGGCCTTGAACTTGCAATCCTCTTGCCTCAGCTTCCCACATTCCCAGACACTGTACTTGGCCACAGTTGAGACTTTTGCTATCTGTCTCTGGGTAGAGGCAGGCAGGCCAACACCTCAGAGATAGTGGACAGCAGGAGGTGGCCAGTTGGGGCTGGGACATGCCCTCTGCCCAGCATTTCCCAACTGCCTGTCCCCATGAGTCATTGGACTGGCGTGGTGTGGCATGGCAGGCAACCAGGAGAGGGCAGAAGGCAGAGGTAACTCTGACTGGCCTTAGCCTTCACCTACTTGGCCAGATTGAAAAGGGAACCAGACCCACAGCTCAGCCCAGCCAGGGTCACAGGCCTCAGGGCACTGAGCTGAAGGCAGTGGGCCTATCTGGGAGGACAAGATGTGTTCCACTGCAGCCACAAGCAAGCATGCCAACACTTCCCTTGTGAGCTGACCCAAGAAAATGCCAAAGAAGCCAGGGGGAAAAGCCAAGGACTAGGCTCTCCTCCAGGATGTCTTTCTGAGCAGGAGTGGGACTTGTGTGCTGGGTGCTCTCAACAGGTACCTGCCAAACTGGGGGGGGGGGGGGGGGGAGGCTCTAGTGCCCAACACCATTTGTGAGGCTTGTTGGCAGAAGAGGCTCTGCTGCAAGAGTGTCAAGTAGGGTACAGGCCTGAGACCAGCAAGCAGTCTGATCCAAGGCAGAGCACAATTCCATGGACATGAATCCCAGGTCTTTCTTCTACCTTCCTTCTCAGGGCAAAGGTCACAGGCAGGGGACAGCGGAGACCCTAGATCAGCTCCTCTTGGGCATGGCGTCCTTGTCACCTTGGCT